GACGGACCTGGCTGGGCCTCGAGGGGAAGCCGGGTCCTGCTGCTCGGGGGGCTGGCGCTGGCACTCCAAATAACACCTGCGGTTCCCCTCACGCCTTTTCGTCAAGAGCACGATGCTGCTGGGAAAACTCGTGCAGCCGGTGTGCAACCCGAGCAAGCTGCTGCCGCCGGGCGCCTGCAGACACTTCTGGGGATGGCTGAATGCCGTGTTCAACAAGTAAGAGCGATTTGCGGTGCACAAGTCAGTCAACGGGGTCCCGGGTGTCCGCTGCGCCGCCTGTGAAGCAGGGAGCATTACGTCCCAGGAGTGGAGAGAACATTTTCTGTTATGGGTGTTCTTTTCCCCCAGATTGCATGTGGGAGCTTGGCAGGGGTTCCTTGCCTGTTTCCCATCACAAAGCTGCGGCCTTGCAGAGGGGTGTGCTTTGCTCCCCTCCCCAGGTGGCCAAGGCAAGCTGGCTGTGTGGATTCCCTCCCTAAATGCCCGTCTTCCTTTAACCCCTGACTGCATTTAAGCCAGTCGAACAACCATGCCGGCTTTACTAATTCAGGCAAGTATCAAACCAACCCATCGTTCACCATGTGATCCAGCCACACAAGGATTTCCCATTCCTTGTAAAATCACAGAATTGTTTGGGTTGGAAAAGCCTTTTAAGATCAGCAAGCCCAACCGCTCCCCTACCCCTGCCATCCCACCACTAAACCCTGGCCCTAAGCACCTTGTCTGCCCGGCTGTTAAATCCCCCCAGGGATGGGGACTCAACCCCTTCCCTGGGCAGCCCCTTCCAGTGCTTGACAGCCCTTTTGGGGAAGGAATTTTTCCTAATGTCCTACCTAAACCTGCCCTGGCACAACTTGAGGCCATTCCCCCTCGTCCTATCACCTATTAACCAGGGAGAAGAGGCCAACCCGAAAGATAAAGCCTTTCTCTCTGAAACTTTCCCTGCCCATAACTTTTGCCAGTAGCTAATAGTTTTGCCGTGTGTCTTCTTGTTCCGTGGAAAGGGTTGCATGGTGTAGCTGACTGCTGTAATGGGGCGGGAAGCTCAGCCAGACAGGAGACTCTTCCAGGTCTCTGCTTCTGTCTTCAGCACTGCTCGCCAGACTGATATCCTTGAAGTGAATGGATCCAGGGATCTTAACTAATTGCTGAAGTGTGTCCTTGAAATACTGTAATTGTTGAGAAGGCGGCTTCAGGAATGGCATACGCGTGACAGGCAGCGTTCAGTTTTTATATAATCAAAATACGTTTGAGAGACAAATTTGCAATTGTTGTGAAGCCTTACTTTGGGGAGAGAAAGGCATTTTTTTCTCTCTCCTTACAGACATGGAAGGAAACAATCAATTAGAAGGGCTAATACGTGCCAAGTCAAGTTACATTTGTATTCTTTCTTTTTTTTAACAAAAGTAACTGCCATTTAAAACAAGTTGAAAAAAAAACAACTTATGCCAGACTGATTAAGAACCAGCACAATCCAAATAATTATACGTAAACCACTTCCAGTAAATCGTATTCTTACTCTTCTGGCATCTTATCAGGCACACCCCCAAATACTCATTGTGCAGTATTGTTACCGTAAAGGCGATAAAGCTGCCGCGTTATAGAAACGGTGTGGGTGCTCCTTCTGTCTTGGCAGAGTGGACTACGAACGTATAGAAGCCGTTGGCCCTGACAGGGCAGCTTTGGAGTGGCTGGGGGGGGGGGGGGGCCCCGGCGCCCTGGTGCGCTATCAAGGCTATCAGAAATGGCAGCAGGACTACAACGGTCTCCCAACAGGGCCCTTGGGGAAGTACAAGATAGAAGCAATTAATGCCACCGACTCTTGCATCATGTACAGGGGATTTGACTATTTGGGTAAGGTAGACACAAGTGTGCAATGTTTATACTGAATGGTCTTGGTTCTTTTAGTTGCTTCAAAATATGAATAACCGGCTCCTTTTCTCATTCCTTAGTAAGATATAGAGAAATCTTTTTCTTTCTTTTGTCCTTAAAATGGCTTTGCAAATATTCAGCAGTTCCTAAGATTTCGCCGGAGGCATGGTGTGAGGTGGAAAGAGATTGGGAATTTCATCAGCCCTTACCTGACGTGACAGTAGCACTAAGGAAGTGCGACAAAGATTTGCTGTTTCATTGAGTTCGTAGTTAAGTAGTTGGTAGCAAAAAGCAATACTTTACTCTTTTTTTCTTCTAAACCAAGGGATGGTTTTGGTGTCTGTGAAGTCATAATAGTGCTTGTTCTCCAGGCATTTATGATGTCTTCAAAGACAAAAAAAAGCAGCAAGCTCTCAGTTTCTTAAAAATAAAAAAGAGATTGTTTCAGGTCTCCTTTACATAACAAAAACCAAAATGGGGAACAGACCTTTTAATTTTTTTTATTGGCAAGGGACCTTGGATTTCCTGCATTATTATGTTCCTAATTCAGAGTCATTGTTTATCTCCCAAACTTTTAAAGCTTATTTTTTACTTGTCCATGTCAAAGCTCTTGGAATCTTACCAAAAAGATACAAACCCTGGGGTTTTCATATATTTGAAGTCCCAAAAAGGGTCTTTGGAGCGCCATTGTGCGTTACAGCCTCACTGTATAGAGGAGCGTGTTGCTGCTTGGTTTTGGAGGCAGTTACTGAATTAGTGAGAAGTTAACGAGTACGGGTTGTTCCTGGTATGCTGGAGCAAGCGCTCATTTTGGTCTTTCCAGATGGTCTTGAACATGTCGCAGAAATCACCCTGCAGAAGTGTATTTACATACAGGACGAGTGTCTGCAGAGGCTCAGCCAGACAAAGAATCTACAGAAGAGCCTCCTCCAGCTGAAGATCATTTCCTGCGGGAATGTCACAGATAAAGGCATCATTGCACTTCACAAGCTGACGTACGTGAGCTGCTGAGGTCTTCTTGCTCCCTACCTGTTCCCACCCCGCGGTTTTGGGATTGCGTTGACTGAAGGGCTAAGGTCTGAATGTTTCTGGCTCTTTCAGACGCGCTGTGGGGTGGCTGGCATTGGGGACTGGCCTGAATGACAGCCTGGGAGGGGTGGCACTGCCACTTGCAGGGAATGTTTCTTCAGGCGTGGTGGATAGCTCTGGGAAGACACGTGGATTAACATACGCATATTAATCAGCCTTTTAAGGCTGGCATCAGGGAGTTGTGTAGCACTGAGGCAAGCGAGAATCCTCCGCCACGGTACCTGAATCCATAGTTGCGCTTCTGCTGTCAGAGTTGAGCACAGCACCTCCCATTTCCACGTGAAGTAGCTTGTGCAGCGTTGATCGCTGCAGAATTGAGAGCAGGACACGCGCTCCTGCTGACACACAACCTTTGCAAGAGCAGTGGCCACGTACAGCTTCCTTTCACGCTGCCACACCAGGTGGGTTTTGCTTGAGAATAAGTAGCTAACGATCACCTTGGTTTCTACTCCTGACCCCCCTTGTGGCAGTTCCTTCCCAGGGCAGGCTCTGACGATGTCCTGTAACTTTTATTGTCTTCCTACACCTCGCACCGCTTCCCATCGCTCAGTTATCATAGAATCATAGAATGTTTTGGGTGGGAAGGGACCCCCAGAGGTCATCTAGTCCAACCCCCCTGCAGGAGCAGGGACACCGCTAACCAGATCAGGCTGCTCACAGCCCCGTCCAACCTGGCCTGGAATGTTCCCAGGGATGGGGCCTCCACCCCCT